ACCAAAATGTTGACCTTCTGGCAACACCTTCCGGCATTATTGCCACAATATTGCGGCAATTTCGTTTTTCGTATGTAAGTTAGATATAAATTGGTATTTAATAGAAATAATGATCTATCAATCTAACAATTAACAAACTGTGCTGAGGAATATAACAAATAATAGCAAGCCACAGGGTCAATAAGAAATAGCTACTTCTGCTATTCTTTGAATAGATAGAAAATTATGTTGATCATCGTAATGAAAATCAAGATATGTTTGTGAAACACTGTGCGCCTGGTGGCAATAAAGTTTGAAAAAGCTATTTATAGCATATGGGTCACAGTCATGGTCACAAGGTCATTGATCTTGGTGTCATTTGAAAGAACTTAATTAGTGGAGTATGATTACTAAATATGAAGTCTCTATCTCTTATAGTTCAAAATTTATGGCAGAGGATCAAAATGGCTATCTTTAGCATATTGGTCACAGTAAAGGTCAAATTGTCATTGACCTTGGTGTTACTTGAAAGAGTTTAATTAGTGAAAGGTGCATACCAAATATGAATTCTCCATCTTTTATGACTCAAAAGTTATGTCGAAGTTTCAAAAAATCTATTTTAAGTATATGGTCACAGTCAAGGTCCCAAGGTCATTGACCTTGGAGTTATTTGAAATAGCTTAATTAATGAAGGGTGCATACATAATACAAGTTCTCTATCTTTTATGGCTCAAGATTTAAGTCAAAGATTCAAAAAATCTATTTTAAGGATATGGGTCACAGCCAAGGTCTCAAGGTCATTGACCTTCAGGTGTCTTTTGAAAAAGCTTAATTAGTGAATTATGCATACTAAATATAAAGTCTCTATCTTTCATTAATTTTAAATTATGATGAATATTCGAAAAAGTTATTTTTAGCATATACATGTAGGTCACAGTCAAGGTCACAAGGCCATTGACCTTGATGTCATTTGAAAGAACTTAATTAGTGGAGTAGACATACCAGATATGAAATCTTTATCTCTCATTGGTTCAAAAGTAATGGTGAAGATTAAAGTTTACAAACAAACAGACAGGACAAAACAATACGTACCCCCGATCTATCAAGACGGGCGCATAAAAAAAGTTTATAGAAACAATATTAATATGCCACTGTGAAAATGTCCAGCAACTCTGCATGAATTTTCAAATAACATGCTTTAATTCATCTTTTCCTGCTACTCTAAGATATATAGACATACAAGTCTAGTATACATGCATCACAAGCACTAATTGAAAAACATATAATTTTTCCAATTTTATCTCCATTGAATCATTCATCTCAAAAAGAATATTGGTTTTGACTCACCAAGTCTGATGATATGGAAACAGAGTACACATGCATTCCTATAACTCTGCTTAAATTCTTTTTTCTAGTCATTCCACACTATGCAGTCTTACTACTCATCTTGACTAATCCCACTGTAGGCAATTAACAACTCTAATCAACTTGATACAAGTCAGTAAAGAAGCAAAACATGCTTGCCTTTGAATTCCCTCCACTTTATTTAAAAAGAGGAAGTAAATGACTGAGCATGCTCAACAAATGGCTCAACAAATGGCTCATGGGTAATCCTAGAAGTTTTTTTTCTGGCAGTATTGCCAGAATGTCACCGGAAGTTGTTGCAGCTAGCGGTGATATTTCATTTTTTCTGGCAGTATTGCCAAAATGTCACCAGAAGTTGTTGATATTTCACTAACCCAAAAAGCTTGCTTCTGGTGACAAAAATGTGTTGCCGCAATGTTGCCGCAATAAAGCAGCAATATTGCTGCAATAATTTTACTTTGGTAAGGGTACAGGTATTTGTGTGTGCTGATTGGTAAAGTTTTATGAAGAGGAGTCTGGCAGAGACCATGACATTTTCTCATCTAAAGCTGATCTATAGCTTTGACAGGGATGGTGAAAATAAATTAATTTATATTTTCTCACAAAACCAGTGATGGCAAACCTAGAGTGACTGGAACATCTAAAGTTCTACAAAAAAATTTTGTCCAAAAGTTTTATACATTTTTTGCTGCCACATGTATTTATCAATTGTACCTAAACAAGTTGGTCTGTATTATGGATCATCTACTAGTATCACACATACCTAATGAGATTATTGTCAGAGTCCTTATAGTATTTACATTTATATCACAAGTACTATTCATTGTGTCATTAAATCTTGAAATTCATTTTCAAAGTCTGTATCAAATGGTTATTACTCTGCTTTGATACAATTTACTGTCGCTATCACTTTTTAACCTGAGCATTTCTGTGGAAAAAAATTATTCTTTTATGTACATTTTTAAATTATGGACAAAATTATAAATTCACATTTTTTGCAGAATTTCAAACCATTTTCATTTATATACATCAATTTTGTACATTGAGTTACTGTAAATGTATTATATTTAGCGTGTACGATATTTGGCGGTAATTGATTTTTGACCAAGTTGGCATAGATATAATTTATGATATGATATATGATTCTTATTAATGTGTATATTTCCAAAACATTTATCATTGTACTTGAATTAGCGGAAGTTTCCGCCCAAAGCACTAAAAAGAATACACAGCCAAATGTAATATATTTACAGTATGATATTCATTATTTTTGACTTGAAAAAAAAAGTAAAAAAAGGGGGGGGGGGTGAAATAATTTAAGGGAAAAGTTTTGACTTTTCTAATGAATTTATAAATATTTCCCTTTAAAAGTGTTAACATCATGTTAACAGCATGTTGCAAATGACATTATGAACATATTTTATATTTTTATATTTTATATATTCGAGTAATCTATTTTTAGACCATTGTTCTTATAAAAATGCCAAATTCCCCATTTTCCAAATTTTTAGAAACCATGTCAGATTGCATAACCTTTTTAGCTCAACTGAGCCGAAGGCTCAAGTGAGCTTTTCTGATCACATTTTGTCCGTCGTCCGTCCGTCCGTCCAGCTGTCTGTCCGTCTGTAAACTTTTCACATTTTCGACTTCTTCTCAAGAACCACAGGGCTAATTTTGACCAAACTTGGTACAAAGCATCCTTGGGTGACGGGGAATTGAAATTGTTAAAATGAAGGGCCAAGTCCCCTCACAAGGGGATATAATGAATAAAAGACAAAAATAGGATGGGGTTATTAAAAAATCTTCTCCTCAAGAACCACTGGGCCAGAAAAGCTGAAACTTATGTGGAAGCATTTTGAGATAGTGTAGATTATAAATTGTAAAAACATGACCCCCGGGGGAAAAGCGGGGCCACAATGAGGAATCATAGATTTACATAGAAATATATAGCAAAAATCTTTGAAAATCTTCTTTTCAAGAACCAGTGGACCAGAAAAGCTGAAACTTATGTGGAAGCATTCTGGTATAATGTAGATTCTTAATTGTTCAAATCATGATCCCTCGAGGAAGGGCGGGGCCACAATGGGGAATCAAAATTTTACATAGAAATACATAGGAAAAATATTTGAAAATCTTTTTCTCAAGAATCACTGGGCCAGAGTAGCTGAAACTTATGTGGAAGCATCCTGGGGTAGTGTAGATTCTAAATTGTTCAAATTGTGACCCCCGGGGGAAAGACGGGGTCACAATTAGTAATCAAAGTTTCACATAGAAATATTTAGGAGAAATCTTTGAAAATCTTCTTTTCAAGAACCACTGGGCCAGAAAAGCTGAAACTTATGTGGAAGTATCCTGGGGTAGTGTACATTATTTCAAACTGTCTAAATTATGATCAGTGGGGTAGGGTGGGGTCACAATTATGTATTACAAGAGGCCCAGCGGCCACAGCGGTCACCTGAGCACATCGGGCTTGAATTTACTCCCCCCTCCAGGCGTTCATCATTTGAACAAACTAGAATCTACACTACCTGAGGATGATTCCATATAAATATCACTAATCATAGCTTTGAAGTACTTGAAAAGAAGATTTTAAAAGGTTTCCCTATATATCCCTATGTAAAACTTGGGTCCGCCATTTTGGCCCCACCCTAGCCCCGGGGGTCATGATTTGAACAAACTTGAATCTGCACTACCTGAGGATGATTCCACATGAGTTTCATCTTTCCTGGCTCAGTGGTTCTGGAGAAGGATTTTTAAAGATATTTCCTATATATTCCTATGTAAACCTGGGTCAGCAATTTTGGCCCCACCCTTGCCCCGGGGGTCATGATTTGAACAAATTTGAATCTACTTTACCTGAGGATGATTCCACATGAGTTTCATCTTTCCTGGCCCAGTGGTTCTGGAGAAGAAGATTTTTAAAGATTTTTCCTATATATTCCTATGTAAAACTTGGGTCGGACATTTTGCCCCCACCCTTGCCCCGGGGGTCATGATTTGAACAAACTTGAATCTACACTACCTGAGGATGATTCCACATGAGTTTCATCTTTCCTGGCCCAGTGGTTCTTGAGAAGAAGATTTTTAAAGATTTTTCTTATATATTCCTATATAAAACTAGGGTCGGCCATTTTGGCCCCACCCTTGCCCCAGGGGTCATGATTTGAACAAACTTGAATTTACACTCCCTGAGGATGATTCCACATGAGTTTCATCTTTCCTGGCCTTGTGGTTCTGGAGAAGAAGATTTTTAAAGATTTTTCCTATATATTCCTATGTAAAACTTGGGTCAGCCATTTTGGCCCCACCCTTGCCCCGGGGGTCATGATTTGAACAAACTTGAATCTGCACTACCTGAGGATAATGCCAAATGAGTTTCATCTTTCCTGGCCCAGTGGTTCTGGAGAAGAAGATTTTTAAAGATTTTTCCTATATATTCCTATGTAAAACTAGGGTCGGCCATTTTGGCCCCACCCTTGCCCCTGGGGTCATGATTTGAACAAACTTGAATCTACACTACCTGAGGATGATTCCACATGAGTTTCATATTTCCTGGCCTTGTGGTTCTGAAGAAGAAGATTTTTAAAGATTTTTCCTTATATTCCTATGTAAAACTTGGGTCGGCCATTTTGGCCCCACCCTTGCCCTGGGTGTCATGATTTACCCTCGAATCATGAGTTTTCGTGGTATTAGCGGTTACGCACCATGTAGTGCTTTAAGTTGGAAGAATTGATACAGTTGCTTTTTGTTACAGATATTAACAGATATTCTCCTTATTTTGATTTTTTTAAAACTCACATATCATTTGCTTTTAGTTCAGAGGGCCATCGTTTGTTTTGCACTGCACCGGATCACAATTTTCGCTGACGTCATATGTTTTCGTGGTATTTTAGAAATCAGTAATCTATGGTAATCCATTTGGGTAAAAAACATATAAATGTTATAGTGGCAAAATTATCACATTTATTGAAAAAATAAATACATTTATTGGCAGAATAATCGGAAATAAATTTATTTGTAGCAATAATTAATATTGTGAGCAAAATAATGTTATTGCATTGAACACATTTATTGAAATGAAATGAGAATTTAAAATAAATTTATTCACACCAACAATATATATTGTGATCAATGTAATGTTTTTGTTCAATTTTATTCAATGATGGCTGATTTTGCCGGAAGACCATGGCAAGGGCAATAGAAAATGTCATGCCTCCTCAAAACTCTGACCTCTGTGCAAAACCCTAAGTGCACCCAGTGGTCGCAATTGTCGAACATGCATTTTCCCCATTTAGTGAAGACAATAGACACACAACTACGAAGTTGTTTGGGTTCAAATAACTTGCACACACAGCATTTCTCACTCTCCTCTATTTCGGAATCTGAAGAGAGACACTCTGGTTCACGATGACTGCATCGGTTTTGCTGTACATGTATTCCAGATGGGCCTGGCTGATCTGCAGATAAAGCTGCTGGTGGATCAGATGATTCTGAAGGAAGGCTTTTGTCACTCCTGTCTTGATCTGAATGTCTGAATGGAGGTGAAAACTTAAGCTTCTTTGTTGTCTTAGGCTTTGTCACAGTAGCTACATAGTCTTTAACCTGGTTAGCAACGCTGTTCTCAGTAATTGCTTTTCCACCCACAATTTTGTTAATTGAGCGTCGCTGTTTGTTACTCTTCGTGAAAAAAACTGGTTTCTTCTTCTCAAAAAAAGATGACAACAATGACTCTTTTGGTTCTTCTGATGATATGTGAATTGGTTCAGTCTGAACGCCTTTGTGCTGAAAGTCCTCTATAACTAGGCAATCTTTATCCTGAGTCATCTCAACATTCCTATTTTCCTGGCAATCTGGTAGAACCTGTGTGTCACAAACTACCGGTACCTGTTCTCCACTGCCGATGCTATTTGGAGCCTGATCATCATCATTCACTTCAAGTTCTTTACGAGTGTCCGATGCCAAAAATGCATTGCCTAGTGAAACGACTGAAGGGTCAAATGGGAATATTCCTGTCCTTCGAAAAGCCCCTCTGAGATTGTTAGGCGACAGGGCAGCGGTGTAAGCTTTACAAGCCAGGTTACAAATATTATATTTATTTACACTGCCAGCATGGGTTCTCTGAAATTTATGGCATTCGTTACCATAGATTTTAGAGAATGGACCAAAACAACCAACGTCCATTGGCTGAAGTATATGGCTGGTGTGTGGTGGTAGTACGTAAAGAATTATATCCTGGTCTATGGCCCAATCAATCAAAGCTGGCGAAAAATGGGATCGATGACCATCATATAGAAGCAGTATCTTCTGGTCAGTAACTCTTCCTTTCGCAAATCGCACAAAGTGGTTTTGTAGGTATGTGGTAAAAATTTCAGAATTAGACCACCCTGTCTTGCTGACAGTACCTTCGGCTCCAACTGAACAACCCTCCATCAACTCCCTTCTCATTCTTGCTCCTGGAAAGACAAAAAATGGTGGAATCTGGTATCCAAGAGCATTTCCACATCCCAGAATTGTAACAGTAGACGACTTCTCGGCTGTGATAACAGATGGAACACTATCTGATGAAGCGACTATATAAGGAGGAGAGTGATTGTGTTGAATTCCCTTTTCATCAACATTGTAGATACATTCTGGTTTGTCTCGTAAATCATACTTGTCAAGGATGCTCTCAAGTTCTTTGAAGTATTTTTCAATGCTCTCCCGTGATGTAGCTTTTGCTCGTAGCTCTGATATTGTTTTAGGGCGCCTTACTTTTAAATCAGGCCACCTGTCAATGAAGGAATTCAGCCACTGGAGGGAAAGTGGGTGCTCCCGGTCTCGCTTTCCTAAGGCAATAGCATACTCTGTGCCCAGATTCATGACCTCAACGCGAGTGTAACCATACCCAACAGCTGAAATTTGTTGAATATGTTTCACTAGCCTAGCCTCCTCTTCTTCACTAAACAATGGGTCTGGTCCAGATTTAGTTGTCTCTATCTTTACATTACCATTAACCCTGTCTCTAAGTGTTTGCTCAGGAATAGAATATTTCCTTGATGCCTTATATACTGAAAACTTATTTTCCACCACATCTATGTAGGCGTTTGTAAGCTGTGTGGGTGAGTAACTTCTATATTTTTTTCTCTTGAGAGAGGCCTAAAAGTAATTTTTATTGTTTTTATTTACAAGTAAAACATTTTAAAACATAATTTAAATATTTTTAAAAAATATATATACACAAATATTTTTATTTTTGGACAAAATAACTGTTTATTTACAGCACATAACTGTCTGTGTAAACTTTTACTTATTGGTCACAAGTGACTTTTTCGTGAAAATTATATAAAAATGACATTACTGGATTACCGTAGAAAAAATATCAAGAGCGGGAATTTCCCACTTATTATCACATGATCATGTAGCCAAGTGGATTGTAAACAGACGACATTTTGCAGAGTCCTCTGATTTGATTACGTAAGTTTTTATTGTTTATCTAAACCCGTCGAATAAATTTGCATTAAGCAAATTACCAAAAATGTGTGAGCTGTACAATATTCAGTGGCTATACTTACTTGAACAGTATCGAATCGGTTCATTATTTGACAGCAGATCAATATAGGATTCCCCTTTATTAATAACAAATATGACGTCATTACGATCTCGCACTGCACGAGAATTCGGAAAAATTAAAAATACCACGAAAACACATATACCACGAAAACACATGACGGGACGGTAAACAAACTTGAATCTACACTACCTGAGGATAATGCCACATGAGTTTCATCTTTCCTGGCCCAGTGGTTCTGGAGAAGAAGATTTTTTAAAGATTTTTCCTATATTTTCCTATGTAAACTTGGGTTGGCCATTTTGGCCCCACCCTTGCCCCGGGGGTCATGATTTGAACAAACTTGAATCTACACTACCTGAGGATAATGCCACGTGAGTTTCAACTTTCCTGGCCCAGCGGTTCTGGAGGAGAAGATTTTTTAAAAATGCCATTAATTTTTAACAAAATCATGATTATCTCCCCTTGAAAAAGGGCATGGCCCTTCATTTGAACAAACTTGAATCCCTTTTACCCAAGGATACTTTGTGCCAAGTTTGGTTGAAATTTGCCGAGTGGTTCTTGAGAAGAAGATGAAAATGTGAAAAGTTTACGACAACGACAACGACAACAACAGAAGACGGACAAATTTTGATCAGAAAAGCTCACTTGAGCCTTCGGCTCAGGTGAGCTAACAAGGGGCGAAATCTAGTAAAGAAAGAATGGTCAAAGCTTCTCAGGTGAGCGATGTGGTCCATGGGCCTCTTGTTTTTTTTTTTTTTCTCTCCTATGAAGCCTTTTATTTAGCATTTCTGTGTACTGGTATATGATTGCCATACTTTCCAAAACCTTTTTAGCTCACCTGAGCCAAAGGCTCAAGTGAGCTTTTTTGATAAAAATTTGTCGGTCGTCTGTCGTTGTTATCGTTGGCGTTGTTGTCGTTGTCGTAAACTTTTCACATTTTCATCTTCTTCTCAAGAACCGCTGGGCCAATTTCAATTAAACTTGTCACAAAGTATCCTTAGGTGAAGGGGGTTCAAGTTTGTACAAATGAAGGGCCACGCTCTTTCCCAAGGGAAGATAATTATGAATAAGAGAAAAATTAATAGCGTTTTTAAAAAATCTTCTTTTCAAGAACCACTGTGCCAGGAAAGATGAAACTCATGTGGAATCATCCTCAGGTAGTGTAGATTCAATTTTTTTCAAATCATGACCCCCGGGGGTAGGGTGGGGCCAAATGGCCGATAAAAGTTTTAAATAGGAATATATAGGGAATCCTTTCAATATCTTCTTTTCAAGTACTTCAAAGCCACGCTTATAGTGATATTTATAGGGAATCATCCTCAGGTAGTGTAGATTCTAGTTTGTTCAAATCATGACCCCCTGGGGGTTAAAATTCAAGCACCCCCCCCCCCCTCCCCCAGTAAACTTTCAGTTCTGATCTGATAGGTACTTTTTCCTAGCCAATACCTCAGGTTAGCGATGTGGCCCCTGGGCCTCTTGTTCTTACAGGAGTAATATTTTTAGAATAAACGATGATATGCTCTGTGTGCCTTAAAAGTTCATGTAATCATATGATTCAATGATTTTTGTTAGAGTGTAGTAGATAAATATTCATTTATATTTCCTCAATTTTTTTTTTATTCAGTCAAAAGGGGCCAAAAATGGCCGAATTCAATGGATCCTTCTCCATGGCAACCAAATGCACGACACCATATTTACTAGTTTTGTACCAAGACACACCTATGGTGAAAATTCTATCAAAATCCGAGACATGTCGTTTTCAAGATTCTTGGTGCTTACAGAGAATGCATTTTAATAATTAAATGAAATCTTAAAGAGTAGAAGGAAAATGACTAATAATAAATGAAGATAACTAATCAATTAATGATAATATTAATAAACTAGGTACGATCTCGTTGCGAGCAATGAGTAGGTCTTCCGTCCATATTCTCCCATTTCGAGATATAATGCCTCAAATATTTTGCATTCTGGACTTTTGTGACCCCTAACGTAACGTAACATTATATATGTTTAGAATTTAATAATATTTTGTTGCAAATCGTTAAGGTGAATACATTTGCTTCTGTTTTGTATTACAAAATATTGATCATTTAAGAGTTAAAGATGAAATACTTTTTATCCCACTAAGCCCCAAATTTGAGGGGTTTCTTTTCGTTGAAGAGATATCTTCTGTAAGTCCTTAATGGGGATGTTTTTCAAAAATTCAAACGGTGCATATTGTTTTAAACATTATCTCATTATCTTTTGTTCTATATTGCTTATCAAAATATCCCCCATTTTCGAGATTTAAGCCGTCATAGATTTAACATTCTGGCCCATTATGACCCTTAATTACGTAACACATGATCAAAATTTTATACTATTTTGTTGCATATCGTTAAAATAAATACTTTTGCTTCAGCACTGTATGAGAAAATATTGATCATTTAAGGTTAAAGATGAAAGACTTTTAACCCCACTGAGCCCCTTATTTGATGGATCATCCCAATTTTCTTGATTGCAAATGAAAGTTCTTGTGATTTTGAAGACTTTTTGTTCAACATCTTTTCACAGATTTCTTTTCGTTGAAGAGATATCCTGCATGAAAATATCTAGGGGTCACCTCTCCCTTAATGGGGCTGTTTGTTTTCAAAAATTCAAAAAGTGCATATTGTTTTGAACATTTTTTTGACCTTTATTTGTTCCATATTGCTCATCAAAATATCTCCCTTTTCCGAGATATAAGCCGTCAAAGATTTAGCATTCTGACCCCTTGTCACCCCTTATTACGTAACATATGATAAAAATTTATGACACCTTGTTGCAAATCGGTAAGATAAATAACTTTTTGCTTTAATAATGTATAACACAATATTGATCATGAAAGAGTTAAAAATGAAAGACTTTTGGCCCCTCTCCTAATCTGAGCAACAAGCCCCTTTTTCCTGATATCACATGAAAGTTCTTAACATTCTGCACATTTTTTCATATACAGTCAAACTTGCCATAGCGGTCACCTCTATCCAGCGGTCTCCTGTCCTATGCGGTCATTTTATTTTCCCCCAATGAAATTTCCTATATAAAGTAACTCTATTAAGCGGTTACCTGCGTAACGCGGTCAGCGGTCATCAAATTTCAAACGAAATCGCCACTTTTCCCTGTCTTTAGCGGCCATTTTGTCCAATCACATGACCTGATCTGGAGTCAGCTGATTCCCAATTTTTGTTACTAATGTAAATAATCAGTCAATTGTTACGGGATCGTGAACAAAAATTAATTAATGGACGTTATTTATACCAATTATATTACTGGATAAGCATATACTCATTACTCATTTTACAAACTAACTGCTTCTAAATTTTACAAAACTCGAACAACTATAACGTTATATGCTGATGACAAAAAAGTTAACAGGAAAAAAAACGAATACTATAGTATTATCGATAAATGATTATCAGGGTCTTATAACTTCTGGAGTTTTAATCAAGTTTAAAAAAGAACAATGTATAAACTATATTCATCTATTAATGAAAATGATAATTTTGTTTACCATTTACAGATGTGACGATATCGCGCCCATTTCTGCGTGCTCTGAGAGTTGTAATGTAAATTGTATTCTGCTTGATAGGCATTTTAATTTTCACACCTAGGAAACTTGCATCATTTGTTGAAGCCCTAATTACGGTTTGAATACACATTGTGGCTTGGGTAAGTTGTGAATTTCACAAAGGAAAACGACGGTTAGGGATTAGTAACGCTTCATTGCTCAGGACACCTGTGCACCTTTTGATCAACTGAGAGTACGTCTGAGAGTTGTACTTGTATTAAGATCAGTTTAAAAAAAAAACATGTACAGAGGTTAAATTTATGAATCAAGTTTGGAAAAAATAATTTTTGACTGATTTTATTCATTCCTTACACGAGAAAAAAAAATTTTTGATGGGGGATAATGCAACACCCTGTAAGTGTAAGATTCAATGTACATGTACATGTACAGGTTAACAGGTATTTTATCAATTTTCTTGGATTCTTTAAATTTAGTTTGAATTCATCCATAAAAGTAATGCATCTACTGAATAACAACTTTTAACAAATTATGAATAGGTACGAAGATATGAAACAATTTTTTTCACACGGAAAAAATCACACAGATTTACAGATTTGGACACGTGCCTGCAACTCAGCAACCTTCCTTAATTTTACTCTCACTGAAAATATTATTTTTTTTATTTATCGAATTAAATGATTTTTTTTTTGGGGGGGGGGGTCAATATTAAATATGACTTTCTTAAATTAGTCAGAGTTACTAGAAGATTTTCGGTAAGCCAGGGTGTTTGCGTACCCCAAAAATAAATAAATAATTAATAAGAAAGAGATAAATATATATTTTTTTTCAATTGCAATACTCAATTTTCCCGATTCATCATCTGATAATATTTGTAATGTTTTTACGCCTCTGATCTGCATGCATGCACAATAAATTTATTTGAAATTCTTGATATTATAAAACTCATAAAGCATAAGATATCGATTCAGATGACTTAAACTCCGTGTGCTCAATTTTTGAATTTTCCACGAAATCAAAATTATAAAATGTAATGCTTGATGATGCTCTCCTCAGTTATTATACCTTGGAGACAGAAGTTTTGATCAATTTTATCCGCCAGTAGATACTCTAAAAATAATTTGTACAGGAAAAAACATGATGAATTTCAACAGCTTACCTATTTTGGCGTGGAAATAAACTGAACATTTTGTGCATCTGAGAGTCAAATCGAAGACCTTTCCTTATAGTTACCAGAAAACTGACATGCATATGTTCCTCTCTAATCAGTATACTGTCTTCCTGTGCGGTCAACCCCCCCCCCCCCCCCCACACACACCCACACACTCTGTAAAGGAGTATTCCACTTAAGTATAGTAGTGTGGTCCCTTTTTACACCCTTGGTTTACTGGAGAGATAGGAGCAATCGGTATTTTGTTTGATTTCATTGTGTATAACAAAGTATTTCTAATACAATCATAGTGCATTCATAATGAACTGTTAAACATATCAAAAAATATAAGCCGATTTTTACCACCCATCGCTCTAAAAGATACCGGAACTTTTCCCTTCCATCAGACTACGGTTTTTCTGTTAC